TGTGCACACAGAGCGTGGTGGCGCCCCGCCCCGCGGCCCGCCCCGCCAGCCGCCGCCCCCCGCCCCTCACCCCGGTGACGTCACGCAGCGTCATCCAGCCGCCGGGCGCGCCGCCCTCTATCGCGGCCGCCCGCCTGAGCAGGTGCTGCGCCAGGCGGCTGACGGCGACGGCCTTGAGTCGCGGGCCCAGGGGCGGCGCGGCCGGAAGGCGGCCGGACAGAAGGTCCGCCAGCTGTCAGAGTTATGAACGTTGAGGAGGGAACATTATGTTTATGGAGGGAACATAGTATTTGAGGGGGGTCAAGAAATGTGTTGTTGAGGAAAGGAGGGGAGGTCGGGCGGTTGCAAAGAGGCAAGGAGGAGGTTGGCAGGAAGGCTGGATTGGTGGCCAAATCAGCGCTGCAGAAATCGGAGTGGTGGCGATGGGCGGAAGAGGGAGGCAAACCTAGCTGGCAAGAGGTGGTGGTTACCTTTTGGGGGGGGGACGAGTGGGGCGGGAGGAGACCACCCACCAGGGGCGAGGCGCAGCCGTCCGCACGTGCAGAGGTTGCAGAGAGACGGCGGCGCCACGCCCCCGGGGTGTGCAGCGGTAAAACCCTGAACCCTAAACCTGCCGCCCGCGAAGGGGGCCGGCCGGGCGCGCCGCGCCCCCTCAGGCCGTCGTGCCGCGCCTGCGGGGACGGGCCGCTGCTAGGCCAAAGGTGGGAGTGCAGCGGCCCACCCTCGGCCGCGGCGGGGCAGTTTCAGGTGGTGCCAGCAGCTCAGTTGCGCAGGCGCCCAAAGGATCACACAATCCTGAGCTGGGGCCGTGCGTGGACAATGTGCAGCAGGGGCTGAGTCAGCTCCTTGAATTGCCAACCCAGCCCCTGCAGCTTCCAACACCCGACCGCCCCCGGCCCCCGCAGCACGCGTCCCGACCCCCGCCACAAACAGGCACGGCCCTGGGGTGGACTCTGGACTGGACCGCGCCGGCCCGCCCTCGTCGTCCCCCATCAAAAACCCCTTGCAGCCCCTCAGCCAATTCATATCCCACAGGTAGCGGGCTGTCCCAACCCCTCGGGCGCGCAGGGGTTGTAGCGCGAAGTAGGGCGGTCCGCCCTTTCGATACGCAACTCGTGGCGCTGCCCGCAACCACCAACCCGCTGCCCCCCCCCTTCCCCAGACCGGGGAGCGCCAAAGGGCAAAAGGGCCGCGCGGCGCGCGGACAGGTGCGCCCGACGGGGCCGCGAACAAAAGCCGCGGCAGCTGGCGCCGCCGGGTCCCCTCGACCCCCGCCGGTCGGCCCCGCCCCCTCTCCTAACCCAGATCCCAGATGCCCGTGCAGCATCCAAGATCCTGCCTTTTGCAAACAAGCCAAATCAACACTCTGCTGCAAAAGTTGAGTCTTCCCGCCGGCTCTGATGCCAAAACTGCCATGCGGTCCCGACCCCAATCATGGTTGCGCAAAACCCCGCCCGGCGCCCCGCACCGCGGCGAGCAGCGCCGCCAGCGCCTCCCTTGCCGCAGCCGTCATCTCGAATTCGCATTTAAGATTCCACAACCCAAAAAACCACACCCTGCTGTAAACGAACTAAACATAAACTCTGGTGTGAGACATAAGACTCCCCTCTGGCTCTGAAGTGAAACAAAACAACGTTGTCCCCGACCCTGCTGCACAACCCCCGGCGCCCCGCACCGCGGCGAGCAGCGCCGACAGTGCCTCCCCGGCTGCCGCGGTCATCTCCGAGTTGACGCACTCCAGCCTCAGCGCCATCAGTAGGTCAACCAGGGCCTCGGGGGTGGCTGTGGCGAGGATGAGATGAGATGAGACGACGCGGGTTTGGTTTTGGGGGGTCGGAGCGGATGAAGGGGAGGGGGTGTTACGTAGCATCGCGGCGCCGTCGCAGGGGTTGCAAGGGAGGGACGACTTTCCGGGCGGGGGCCGTTGCCCGGGCCCGCGCTTCGAAGGGGGGTCGCCGTCGGGGGGCCTTGTGGGATACTGACGGCGGCCCGCGGGGGTCGGCCAACCCACCAACGGCGCGGGACGCACGCGCCGGCGGCCCCTCACGCTCTACGCCCTGGCTTTCGGACGTTTTGTGACACACGCTCTGTGAGCAGACCTTCGGCCAGGACGTATGCCGCGCGCGGTCGGGAGGACACTCACAACACTCGGTTCTGCTGACGTGGCGCCACCCAGAAACGTACACAAAGACACACTAATCTCGGATGCAACAACGGCCTCCAACCCCCTGAACCCTTGGGCCCTTGTTTGCATTCCACCTCCTAGACTAGCACCAGCACCACCCCGCTCCCCCCCCCCCAAGCCCCACGCCAGTCAACAC